GACGGCATCCCCGAATCATTGAGGCCTTTGAAATTTTCACTCATCTCTGTCATTTTCCTGAAATGCAATATTGCTTCCCGCTTACTCTCCTTTCCAGAAGAGTTTTTTCTCCACAAGTCTGAGCAAATAATAAGCCAAGAGTGGGTAGAATAAAACCATCCAAGAATTGAAGCTAATCTTCAAGGTACCTGATTTCTTGCCTCCCAAAAGCCTAATACTCCATACAGGAAAATAACAAAATCTAGTACTCAGCAACATAAAGTCACAATGTTCAGCATCCAATCAACAACTGCTAATTGTTCGGGGAAACCTGGAAATATGAACCATAACCAAGTGAAAAATCATTCAATAAAAAGAGATATAGAAATAACAAAATTGAGGAACTTGTCAGGCAAAAATTTCATTATAAATATGTTCAAAGATTAAAGACTAACAGTGCAATATGGAGAGAAATGGAAAATACAAGAAAAAATCTATAAAAGGCACATTAGAAATGAAAAAAAGAAAATATACCAGATTAATAGCAGATTAGATGTTATGGAATAAAGATTTAATAAATGTGAACATACAGCAATAGAAAGTTGCCAAAATGCAGCACAGAATGAAAAAAAGATATTGCAACAGATGAACAGGGCCACAGTGACATATTGGATATTATTATGTGGCTTTAAAAGCAAAACCAAACCACATATGTTTAATTACAGTTCCAGAGGACAGAGGGAGAGGACAGAAAAACATCTGATGACACAATGGCCAAAAATTATCCTTATTTGATGGAAAATATAAACCAACTGTCATGGATTGAATTACATCCCCCAAAAAATGTATGTGTCAATTTGGCTGGGCCATGATTTCCAGTATTGTGTGATTGTCCTCCATTTTGTGATTGTAATTTTATGTTAAAGAGGATTAGGATGGGGTTGTAACACCCTTACTAAGGTCATATCCCTGATCCAATGTAAAGCGAGTTTCCCTGGGGTGTGCCCTGAACCACCTTTTATGTTACAAAAGATAAAAGGAAAGGGAAGCAAGCAGAGAGTGGAGAACCTCGTACCACCAAGAAAGCACCACCGGCAGCAAAGCACATCCTTTGGATCCAGATTCCTGTGCAGAGAAGCTCCTAGTCCAGGGGAAGAATGACAATAAGGACCTTCCTCCAGAGCCGACAGAGAAAGCCTTCCCCTGGAGCTGACACCATGAATTTGGACTTACAGCCTACTAGACTGTGAAAGAATAAATTTCTCTTTGTTAAAGCCGTCCACTTGTGGTATTTCTGTTAAAGCAGCACCAGATAACTAAGACACCAACCTAGCCAGGAATCACAATGACTCCTAAGAAGGAGAAACATATAAAGAAAACTACACCAAGGTAAACTTTACTCAAATGGCTGAAAAACAGTGATAAAGAGAATATCTTAAAAGCATTCAGAGGTGAGGGGAAGTCACGTTATGCACAAAGGAAGAAATATTGGAATGAAAGCACACTTTTCATTAGAAACTATGCAAGTTAGAAGTCGATGGATCAACGTTTTTAAAAGAGCCAAGAGAAAATGCATTAAACGAGGATGCTTTAACTAGAAAATGAGGTTGCAAAAATAAACATGGAAGAAAGAATTTTTCAGGCTATGAGCAGAACAAATTTGTTGCTAGAAGTTTTGCTGTACAATAAATGTTAAATTAAATTATTGAAGCCAAAGATTAATGACACTATCTGGAAAATTTAATTCCACAAAGGAATGAAAAATGCCATTAAGTGGTAAATATGTGTGAAATTATGAAATATTTTTATTTATATCCAGCTATATGCTGCCTTTCTGCTCTCATAAAGGTTACAGCCTTAGAAACCCTATGGGGACAGTTCTACTCTGTCCTTTAGGATCGCTATGAGTAGGAGTCGACTCGATGGCAATGGGTTTTTTATATGTTGCCTACATGAGATCCTCTTCAAATAAAGACACATGTAAAATGTAAAAGAATGAAATTAGATTGTAGTTGATGATGCACAACTCAGTAAATATAATAATGGCAAATTGAACACATG